CGGCTTGAGCCCTTGTTTGTCCATATTGCTTGTATGGCATCTTTTGGCATGTTGGCACTGTTTGCCTGGTCGTTGAGCCGTCACACTTAGTTTAGTTCTTCGCGATTGTTCTCGTCAATCAAGCATTGGTTACCTTTCTAGTTCAGACTCGTCAGCACTAAAACCAACAACTAAGTATATGTACTTAGTTGGCCTTGTTTCTCTACTTCGTTACCTTATCGGATTACTTGTTCACGGAGCCTGGCTGTGGCGATATACCACGCGGCGCACTACGAAATAGACCCTAGGGGTTACCGGTATAACGACGATGAAGGACACTCAGGTGAGTGCCCCCAACTGAGATTTAGCTAACTAGAACCCTAGGTTACGATACGAGAGAAGCCAGGTTGTGACATTGAGCTAGAGAATCTTGAAATAGAGCTTCAACAAAAGAAAGCTAATCTCAAAAAGCAAGAGGATATTCACCTGCAACAGCTTCAAAATGAGAAGTTGGAACTTGATCTTATGGAGAGAAGAATGCGGATACAGGAACATGAGTAAACTGGTTTATAAGTAGTTTACAAGTACTTGGTAAATACTTTAATAGAAAATTTGCGCAACACTAATGTATCATGCAGAAATATATTTTGAACCAAAGGTAACTGTTACAAATGTTACAGAGGCACTAACTTATACTATTTCTGAACTAACTAATAAATTGGATCTTAATAAAGCTATCGCTTAATAATTAATTAAAAAGTAATAGTTAACCTTTTCTTTTTGAATAGAGAAGCGACAGAGCAGCTATGTAGAGTGGTGTGGTGGTGGTACGGTAGTTACTTTACAAGTAGTTGGTAATCCGTCTGACAGGTCATGCGGGAGGAAAGTTTGTAAAGATCGGTTGTTGATCACATGGCTGCCAAGGCCGTTATATAAGCAAGTTTGTCCCGCACGAGGAAAGAGTTGACCTCAGGTCACCTGCAACCACTGCCAGATCGCAACTCTTGTCATGCGTTGTGTCATGCATGGTGTCCTAACAGCGGGTCATCCACTAGCTTTTTAAAGACAGATTTACCGCTAGTTATGCAGGACGATATTGCTGAATTACGACGTCAACTGGAGGAAGAGAGACGGGCAAGGGAAGAGGCGGAACAGCGCCAGGAAGAAGAGAGACGGGCAAGGGAAGAGGC